TGCGTGATCGGAAGATCCGACCTGGGATGCAGCACATGCACCTCTATTTCTATGCATTTCTATCTATGCTTCTCTCTATCGATCTATGTTAGTCATATGTTGTTCTCTCTGCGTGATCAGAATATCCAACCTGGGACACATCGTATGCAACTTTCTATCTCTCTAACTCTCTCTCTATGTCAGTCATATGTTATTCCCTCTGTGTGATTGGAGGACATCTGACCTAGGATATAAAATAATGCATTTCTATGTCTAACTTCTCTCTGAAATAATTGAGCACTCACCTAAAGTAAAGAGCTATTTGGAATTCCTTGATTAATAGGGTAAGTCGTGAATTGGGGAACATGTTCTAGTGAACTTAAAAATTGAATTAACTAAAGGTTGTCTATCAATCTTGGATTATTCACTTGATTGGGATTCCGCACCATCAAGTGAATTCGGTTAATACATTAAAGCATTTTGGGACTTATAGATTTTTCCAGATTCACTTGGGTGCATTTTATAAAGCAGAAATCTGAAGCCACTCCTAAACTCAAGAATTTCATTAAGCAGATAGAGCTATAATTGCGAAAGTTGGTTCACAACATTCGTAGTGACAACGGGTTGGAATTCAAAAACCAAGCGTTTGAAGAATTTCTGACTATGAAAGGATTTACTCACAACTTTTCAGCTCCTTACACTTCTCAATAGAACAAGGTCATTGAAAAGTGAAACAGCTCATTTTGCGAAGCTGCGTGAACCATGTTATCATTCGCGAATCTGCCACTTTACTTCTGGGCAGATGTGATAGGAACTACCTTCTTTACCCAAAAAATTTCCATGCTCAATAAGCAATTATCTGTTACTCCATATGAAATAATAAATAATCATAAACCTAATGTCAAGTTTTTCCATGTTTTTGGTTCCAGGTGCTTTATCTTCAATTTAAAGGAGCAAATGAACAAATTTGATGTGAAAGCTGATGAAGGTATCTTCTTGGGGTATTTTTTGACTTCTAAAGTGTATAGGGTTCTCAACAAAAGTTCCAAAAGGATAGAAAAACCTACTATGTTACTTCTGATGAGAATTACTTGAAGAAGTTTCAGAAGAATGACAGTCCATCACAAGAGATCTTTCTCAAACCGAATCCTACCACCATTTCACTCTCCAATCTCTACGAAGGAGTTCATCAACTTATTCAAAGAAGCTGAAAAGTCCATATCCTATTAATCCAAAGCAGCAGACAACAAGGAAAACGAACTAAAGAAAATCATTGACGATGATGTGAAAGATATGGCACATGATCATCCCACTCCGAAAGAACCTGAAGTTCCACATCAATCAACAGGTGCAAACGCTACACCATATGGGGAGGGTTATACTCTGATCTCCTCATCTAAAACACTTGTTTAGGGTGAGAACAAAACCCTTAATGTCATCTCAGAACCACCTTTCCATGGGGAGAATCCGAATCCAGAAGATAACCTACATGCATCATTCGAGGGGGAGAATGAAAATGCGAATGATAATTTGGATGTACAATCTGAGTTTGAAGATGTAAATGCAGAACTGGATCCAACATGTGATCCTAATTACCCTCCGTTGGCTAAATGGACCAGAGATCATCCAAAAACTCAAGTTATAGGAGATTCATCTTTAGGAGTTCTTATGAGAACACAACAAAAAGCAAAGCAAACTGCTTTCTTTTCTAAAGTGGAGTACTGAATGTTCAACTTGTTTATCTCTAAGATTGAACCTAAAAATGTTCAAATTGTGCTTGATCATTCTAATTGGGTACAAGCAATGTAGGAGGATCTCAATGAATTCGAACGAAACAAAGTCGGGAGACTTATTCCCACTCAAAAGGATGCATCGGTAGTTGGTCTAAAATGGGTATTTTGTAACAAGCTAGATAAAGAAGGAAATTTTATAAGAAACAAGGTACGACTCGTTGTTAAGGGATACTGTCGGGAAGAATACATTGACTACGAAGAAACCTTCGCACCCGTTGCAAGGTTGGAATATGTTTGCTTCTTTCTGACATACGCAGTACACAAGAACTTTAAAGTATATCAGATGGATGTCAAGTGTGCATTTCTAAATGTGGAATTGGAAGAAACATTTTATGTGGAACAACCACCAGGGTTTATAAAGGAAAAGTATCTAAACCACTGTTACATTTTGGACAAGGCAGTTTATGGTCTAAAGCAAGCTTCAAGAGCCTGGTACGAAACTCTAACTTGTTTTTTAAAACAAGCTAAATTTAAACAAGGATCGGTCGGCCTAACCTTCTTTCGCAATAAAGATGGTGACCACTTGATGGTCTTCCAAATTTACATTGATGACATCATATTTGGATCAACTAACCCCATCTTAACAGCTGAGTTCCTAAAGTTGATGGAAACTAAGTTTAAGATGAGCTCCATGGGTCCGATTAACTTTTTTCTTGGCTTGAATATAAGACAGAATCAGGAAGGTCTCTTTATCAATCAGGAGGCTTATACAAAGACGTTACTCTCCAAGTTTGGAATGGTGGGAGATTCAAAGGTGAAGGGTCCAATGGCATTCGGAATGAAACTAACACCATCTCTGGACAATCCATCTATTGATATGACTCTCTATCGTTAAATGATAGGTTCATTGATGTATCTGACTGCTAGTTGTCCAAATATCATGTTTTCTGTCTGTTATTGTGCCAGGTTCCAAGTGACTCCTCACGAACCTCATTTGACCGATGTTAAGAATATCTTCAGGTATCTCAAGCAAACATCCTCACTAGGAATATAGTACCCTTCAAGTTCAGGTTTCTTTGTGCAAGCTTTTTCGGATGCTGATCTTGAAGCTTGCGGTTTAGATAAAAAGAGTGCAATGGGAGGATACCAATTTCTTCATGGCAAACTCGTAAGTTGGCAATCGAAGAAGCAAACTTGTGTCTCCCTATCAACTACTAAAGAAGAGTACATAGTTGTTGCCTCTTGTACTTCACATGTAATATGGATTCAAAGTCAACTTCGCGACTATGGTATCAATATGAAGCGAATCCCCTTATATTGTGATTCTGAGAGAACCATTCGTATTTGTCACAACCCAGTGCAACATTCAAAGATGAAAAACATAGCACTAAGGTATCACTTCATCAAAGATCATGTGGAAGATGGTAATATTGAGATACACTTCGTTAGATCCATTGATCAATTGGCTGACATCTTCACGAAAACCTTGCCTAAGCAAACCTTCAATCGCATTCTTCAAGGCCTACGAATGATAGAGGTTGAATCTGTTTTGAAAAAACTTTCGCATTCGTAATCTTTTAACTGCAAATTGGTGTGAACGTTCGCAGTGACTTGCAATCTACTTTTCATACTGCGAATTGGTGTAAACGCTCACAGTCCACTGTTCATTCCGAGTTTTGGAACTTCATGTGTCATTTGTACACTTTGTTAATTACCTCTTATTTGTTTATGTTTTTATATATCTTTTTCAGAAAAATAAAATCCAAAAACATTTTATTTGTTTCTGTTTTTATTTCTTTTTCGGAAAAACAAAAATACAAAAATATTTTCTTTATTTTCTATTCGTAAAATAATCAAAAATACCAAAAATATTAGATAATTAAGCAGGTTTCAAGATTCATATCTTGGTGATCTCAATTACGAAACGATGGGGTAGGTATACAATTCTTATTCTATGCACTAGTTAAGTGTCCGTAGAAGCATGTTGTTGCATGTAGTCCAAAGCCTTAAAGACTCTATGTTGAAGCCTTAATGAATCGATAACACCAATTGTTTCTTCCCAATAATGTTGTTTATTCACATAAGTAATGAGCTACCTTACTCTCCTTGCGTTGAGTTAAGAGTTCACTGCTCGGTCACTTTCACATAGTAGAGGTACATTATTTTTTGGACCCACCTCCTGCTACTTCTCCATCACTTTCGCATTCATGAACGTAACCCTTGAGACGCTCAGATATTACCACTAAGGTTTATGGTTACACAACTTCTGTGTTTATGATCTTGAATTCGTTATCACCATGAATTTAGTGAAACCAAAAATTCAACACATTTTTACAAATTGACGGTGAACAATTACATGTTCAATATTTTTTCACCAAGGAATTAACGAATATCAATTTTCGTGGTCTATACCAAGAAATCTCTTTTTCTTTTGCGAGATCTTAATGCAATGTTCTATTCCTAAGACGTTTCTTCCCAATAGATCCAATTTTATTTTTCTTGAGATTTCTATATTAATCCTAGTCACTGAAATTTATTCCCAAGCATACTTGTTTTTATGGCTACGCTGGTCAAACAAGTACTTCATACGAATCTTCGGACTTATGTTGAGTTTTAGGTTTAGTTGAAGAAGAAGCCACCTCATTTGCCTTATTAAAAGAAGCATTTCACTGTTTCTCCACAAACAGATGATCGTAATTCAACGGGACACCACACAAGCACTTCAAAGTCTCTCTTGACTGCGAATGAAGAGATTGTTTCCTGAGAACCATCTGTTTGTTGTCTTATATGACATCACTAGAACCCTTGAGAAAACTCACTTTATTTATTTATCTTTGGCACACTCTTGCACGAAGATCTTTATGATTTTTAAAATTTTGGTTCATTGTCCTATTGGTTACTTTCAGGTTCAAAGTATGGTAAATGGTGATCAATTGTGAATGTATGCGGCTGCGAAAGTTAGAATCCGAAAGGACGATTCTAAAGGATAAGATTTGAAATTGGGCGCATCGAATTTCAAACGGCTCTTGACTTGATGCCTATGTTACCACTGCCTGACACACACGCCTGACGTAACAGTTATCACTTACGCTTTTTCAGGCTTTTGAAGCGCCAAACATCATATTTTCTATCTCTCCTACTACACGGTATAAAAAGATTTCAACGATTCAGTTGTCATTACCGCTTTCAAACAAATCAAATTCTCTAGCAAATTCTCTCTATACTATTCGTCTTACTTTCCAAGCTTCCATAGCTACTTCATTAGAAACCCCTTCTGCAACTGAACAGATGACACAATCCTCGATCCTCAACCACAAGACAAATCAAAACATGATTCTGGATCTTGACCCAGCAAAATACGACGTGTTTCTTCAACCGATCGTCGAATGTTTAAGGTATTCACCACTGGTTATCACTCTCACCAAATATGAAAGTGTTCCATTGGTGCATCTGTAAAAAGATTATTCCATAACAAGTTATCAAATGAGAGATGAATTCATCACGTTCGAAATATTCAATCAGGAAAACCCAATATACCAAGTCGAGGTTTTGCAACCTCCTAAGGCTTTCACAGGGCCGTGACTTAATTGATCCTGAGATTATCTCTAATTCAGAAATTCTAGAGATGTTCTACCAAACGGGATACAAGGAAACATTAATTGCTATTTCAAAATTCAAGAAGCCCAAATTATCGCCGATGTGCAACGGTCTTTTCACTCTTCTATTCAGGAGCTTCTCGGAGAGGGTTACTAACTCCGACTGTGCAAGAAAGTTCTTCATGACTTTGATGTACAATATCTACTCCGAAATCAATCTGGATTATGGTTCTGTTATCTGGGCCCAAATGGTCCAAAGCACTCTCTCTACCACATGACACAATGAAATTTCCTATGTTTGTTTCTGGACTATCATCGTTCAAAGGGTAATCAATAAGCTAAACATCCCATTTTTACAATGTTCGTGTGTGGCTTCAATCCAGATCTTTCATACCACGAACATCATACTTGCTAATAACTCCAAGTTCAGCTTCATTGGCTCCATTCATGAAGTTATGCTATGAGAGGTTCTGGTTGCGAGTGAAATACTGCGACCCTATCGCAGTCTACAGGTCTCATGCTTTTGCCCATTGACTGATAAGTTCCACCAGATACTCGTAGAGCTTAGAAAACCCAAGAAAGGGGGTAAGAAGATGATTGCAAAACTTGGTCCTTACGAACCTCCTCAAGCATCGACAAAGAAGAAGATCAAGAAAGTGGCTCACAAGCGAAGATCTCCCACTCCGAGCGATCACGAAAATTCGCATTCAAAAATGGTTTTGGGGGCTCCTGTTCAGGGAGAGGTTCACATAGAGGATGATAATGGAACAACATCTAATCCAAAGGTTTCAGAGCCTACAACTACGAACCGTGAGGTAACATTTAAAATCCCAACCTTCATTCCAATTACTGAAGATCTATTCCAAGATTTTTCCATCCATTCACCCACATCTATCATCTCCACTCCTATCACCATCGCCCCTTGCCCACTGGTATCTTTGGGTGTTTCGTAAACCCAAACCCTGCTCTTCACTGATTCAACCGCCACTACAACCACAACCACTGTTGAACCTCCAATCACTGTTAACGCATCTAATGCGGGGGCAAGGGCTTTAGGTTTCTCAATCAGCCATTCTACACCACCCGTTTCTCCACTTACGCAAGATGATCTGGATACCATTTTTGGATGTGATGTGAATTTTGGAGATTTAACCTTCATTCCTTTCCATCTTTTCTCAATAAAGGGCTAAAATGGACAAGTACTAAAAAGATTAAGGGTTTCAAGGTATACCTGGACTTGGGATGTTACAATTCTCCCCCACTAGAATCAAACTTCACCCTCGAAGTCATGCTCCATAAATAACTCTGGATGTTGCTCTCTCATCTCAGACTCCGGCTCCCAAGTCAACTCGGACCCTCTCTGAAGTTGCCATTGGACCTGAACCAGGAGCACCTCTTTGTTCCTCAAAACCTTCACCTTTCGATCTAAAATCGTGAGCACCTCTTTGTTCCTCACCTGAACCAGGAGCACCTCTTTGTTCCTCAGAACCTCTCAACATAGTTCAGGCTCGCATCCATCTGAATATCCTCTAGGGGTACCATTGCCATCTCATCAGTTACACACTTCCACAACTGGGACACGTGGAAGGTGTTATGAATCTGACTCAACTCTGCAGGTAGCTCCAACTGGTACGCTACCCTATCCACTCTGGCGGTCACTCTGAAAGGACCGATGTATCGGGGCCCTAGCTTTCCCCGTTTCCTGAATTGGATCACCCCTTTCCATGGGGATACCTTTAGGAGGACAAAATCTTTGACCTGGAACTATAGCTCGAATCGTTGCATGTCTGCATAACTCTTCTGGACACTCTGGGCCGTCAGTAACCTCTGTCTGACCTACTGAATATGCTTAGTTGTCTTCAACACTATCTCAGTGCCACCCATCACTCTTTGCCCCACTTCTCCCCAATAAATGAGTCCAACACCTCCTCTTGTATAGAAGCTAAAAGGGAGGCATACCAATACTCGCATGATGGTTGTTGTTGTAAGAAAACTCAGTCAGGGGTAAATAAGTGTACCAATTTCCTCTGAAGTCCATAACACATGCATGCAGCATGTCCTCAAGTGTCTGAATCGTCCGCTCGCTTTGCGCATCCGTCTGCGGGTGGTATGCAATACTAAAATACAAACGTGTGCCCAACTCCTCATGAAATTTCTTCTAAAACATGGAAGTAAAACGCATGTCTCGATCTAACACTATCAAGGTCAACACCCTATGTCGTGCTACCACCTCTCTCACATAGATCTCAACTAATCTCTCTATAGAAGTGCTCTCACTAATAGCAAGGAAGTGAGGACTCTTCGTCATTCGGTCCACAATCACTCAAATCCCGTCAACTCCACGTGCAGTCCTCGGTATCTTTGTGATAAAGTCCATAGAGATTTGTTCCCACTTCCACTGGGGAATCTCTAGAGGCTATAATGGACCATGTGGATGCTGGTGCTCTGCCTTAACCCGACGGCAGGTCAAGCACCTCTCAACTACCCATGCCACATCCCTCTTCATATATCGCCACCAATAATCTCTCTTCAGGTCCAAATACATCTTAGTGGCCCCGGGATGGATCGAGAATCTCGATCTATGCGCCTCTTCCATCAGTATACGCCGAGCTCTGCCTGTATAGGGCACCCAAATCCACCCTTGGAAAGTCATAAGCCCTCGACTATCTGTCACAAACTCAGACACCTGCCCAATTACCCGCTATCTTGTGATTCTCCGATCTCACAGCTTCCGCCTGGTCCTCTTAAATGGTATCTAAGACTGGAGTCATCACCATCATCCTCATACACACATCTCAGATGGGAGCACTCTCTTCTCTACGGATTAGGGCGTCGACTACCACATTAGCCTTGACCGGATGATACAGGATCTCACAGTCATAATCTTTCACTACATCCAACCATCTCCTATGTCTCATATGTAGGTTGGGCTAATCCAACAGATACTCCAGGATGATCCATGAGATACTTTAGGCTCTTGTGGTCCGTGTATATGGTACACCGAACCCCGTAAAAATAGTGGCACCAGATCTTAAGGGCGAACACCACCGCCCCCAGCTCTAGATCGTGGGTGGGATATCTCATCTCATGAGGCTTCAACTACCTCGATGTGTATGCTATCACGTGCCCCCTCTGCATCAGCACCTCACACATCCATGAAATGGATGCATCGCAAAAAACTACAAAGTCTTCCACCCCCTCAGGGAGGGCTAACACCGGGGCTTCATACAATCTATGGTGAAAAGTCTCAAATGAGGTCTGCTGCTCAAGACACCAAATAAAAGTAACACCCTTTCGGGTCAACCTGGTGAGGGGGCGACAATCTTGTAGAAATCTTTGATAGTAACCAGCCAAATCCAGAAAACTCCTGATCTTGGTGGGGGATCTAGGCACCTCCCATCTCATCACCACCTCGATCTTGGCCGAGTCAACCAATATCACATTCTGGTTAACAATGTATCCCAAGAACTAGACCTCTCATAACCAGAAATCACACTTGGAGAATTTGCCATAAAGCCTTTCCAACCTCAAAACTCCAAGAGTATCTCTCAGATGCTCCTCGTGCTGCTCTCTGGATCTCGAATACACTAAGATATCATCGATGAACACGATCACTGATCGATCGAGCATAGTGTTGGGTTTTAGCCATAAGAACTTTCCTATGTGCGCATGCAAAACCCTATTGCTCGGATCTAGGCTTTCTAATAAACATGCTTTTGAATCCAAGACTTCTAATGGCTAATTAGGTTAAACAACAACATTAAAACAGATCTAGAATCATACCTTTGAGTTCCTTGTTGATCTTGTTGTCTTGGAGCTTCTAGAGTCACAATTGTCACTCCTCTAATGGCTTACAAACACCAATAGCAAGCAAGATGATTTGGGAGAGAGGAGAGGGGATGGAATTCGACCAGAAGTTCCTTGCTTTAGGTTCTGAAAGGTTGTACACGAATTCCACATCCCAAGGGCCTATTTATACCTTTAGACTCCTTAAGAGTTTCACCCTAAACCCTAATTGGATAATCTTCTCTTAAGGCTATCCAAATCCATTCCATAGATATCCCTATGGACGATTTTAAGCTATCCTAAAGCTCTTAGAATCCGTCCAAAGTGTATCTTAATGGATTTATAGTCCAAAGTCTAACTATCAAACAATTGACAGTTTATACCCTCTTATTTAATTAATCTCTTTAAGTCACCAAATTAATACCAATTAATTTATGACTTATATTAATCAAATAGCTAAATATTATTCCTTATAATATTTACTCTCTCTATTAATAAATCATCCTTCAAGTTGCTATGGTGAAGGCAACCCAAAAGGACCATGCACCACCGAATATAGTTACAGCCTTAGACACTATTCCAACAGTCTCCCACTTGGATAAGTCTAGTAACTATACAAGTATAATACGGTTTGCAATCGTAGCTCTCAAAGACGCTGTCAACTCTGATCTAATCAATCTTGTCCTTTAGATAAGGGATCGTACAGTCCTCTGTTAGATATCATGCTGACAATCCTATGGAATGGTTAGTCTAGCATTTAGATTTCTCGATCTTCGATTTATTTGACATAGAACTTAATCGAACACATCAATTCAGTTCTGACCGGGCCCGGAACATAAGTCAAATCAAATCATCGAGTGGCCAAGATATCTCTTCTACCCTCTTAGGATAAAATTTACAGATAAACTTCGACTTATATGCATTTACTTATTCATTAACCAACTATACACAACAATGCGTTTTATAACATCAAGTTACTGATGCGTTTTCGCATTATCAATGCACAATCAATTAACAAATAATAAACCATATATCTAGGTTTTAAGACCATATGATATTATCGTCTTGCGATCACCTTTTATATCGTATTCCATAAGGTGATTCCAGCAAGCGCGGGTTTATTCCAATGCTCAAAACCAGTTCATAAGCACTCATGAACGTTGCAGCAACCCTTGCTATGTCTAACACCATTTAGACATTCTACACACCAATTCATGACAATCTTCATTCATATCTACTCCCAACATATGAACGATTGTGGACCATTTGAATAATTCGATTATTCCTAATAAACTCAATTATTCTGGAAGTCAAAACATGCAAAGTGAAACAATAGTTAAACAACTAACATGTGATAGTAACTTTACTCATAAATAAAACTCCTTTATTTAATCATCAAATGTCAATTACATTTATCTATTATACGTTTCTAATACTATCTAATCTATGCTAATATCATCCTTCAGCCCAATACTCCTAGCATGCTGTAAGT